CTTATCCAATTTAACCAATTACACAATATAAAGTTTGTCAAGTTGGAACAAACCAAAACAACCGACTTAGTAAGTGAACCCTCGGAGTCATTAAGTAGTACCGGACGATCGCACAAAGTTATAGCTTGTTGCTCCAAGTTACACGCTACGGCGAACTTCATTAATTCATTCGCTTACATTGATTTCCGTAACAAATAAAAAAAAAACAGTTTAAGTGTTTTTCTGAAGAAAGCCTTACATTCATATAATTTTTAACTAATGCAAATATACATAAATACATAAAAAAGGCATTGACAAAGATGAAAAATAAATGAAAAGAGATGCATTAGTAAAAACAAACTGAATTGCATATCTTTATTATTGTCTTAGAACAATTAAAAGGCAGTTAATAATAAACAATCGAATTGTACGTAATTAATAAAAAAAAAAGTCATATGTTAATAATAAAATCGCTATCGCTTATAAATTACATCTCGTCAGTCAACCATAACGCGTCTAGCGTTGCGTAGGTTGCGTGAAATGTAAATTTTTGCTATTCATTGCGGTCGGCGACTGTTTTTTTGACACTCGCGCCTTTCAACTGGGGTCTGGCCCTTTGGCAAGGGTCGCTTGTACTGGTGTGCACAAAAGTATTAATTTTGATTTAAAAAGTTACCAATAATATAACTTTAAATAGGAAATGTGCCTTTAAAGGATTGAAAAATATCACAACCAAAAACACATTTAAAATTAGTTAATCTCTAACTACTAATTCTAATACGTTTTGAATACTTAAATATAAATGAGAAATAACGCTATAAGAGTTTTCAAGTATATTTAATACTTAGGAATAGGAACTACTTTTTACTACATAACGTCGAGATAAAATTGTATCATAACCACTTGTGTGCTTGAATGTACATCATCAGATGTGCAAGCAGTGCACACCTCGCGCATTCCGCACGAGCTTCGACAAATTGCTTGGAGGCTGAGGGGGTGAGGGGTGAGGGGTGCGACGCCGCCGGGAACCAACACCGACCCTCTATTGTACTTGCAAAAAAAGTTCAAATTTTTAAGGAAATAGAAATTTTTTGCGTAAAGTTAAACATTTCATCATATGTATTGTTTTTAAGTAAGATAGAAGAGGAATAGGCCGGTGCTTGACTGCTGGTGGAACTTTGTTATGAATTCTTACATATTGTTAGTAAATGGTATTATCAACTTGGCCTTATCATACGGAGGGTCGGCACAGTATGTGCTGCTCTTCCATACATCTCTATCAGCAGTCATATCTGCATCCACTCCCTCCTTAAACACAATGCAAATGACTTAGTAAATGGAATCCAAGGGACTAAAATTATAGTAACATGTTGTGCAATAGGGTATTGATTATTCTAAATTTTTTTTATCTACAAGATATAAATTTATGAGGTTTTCAAATTAATGTAGAATTTAAATAAACCTCTATAAGAATGAAATCGATCAATTGCAGCTACGCCCTAACTCGTCTGTAATTAAAAACGATTTTACCAAGGAACATTTCGAATCAGCATAACAACCATAGATTCCCATAGCAATTGCCACGCGACAACTTTAGATACGCCTATGGTTGCCCGTGCTTATCAAAAAATTATACCGCATCGATCGAAACCTATTAACAAAGTAATATGAAATTTATCCCACTGCTTTAAAGTTCAAATTACAGATAGACATACGTTGTACACGCTAAACAAGGAGTGCTGGAGAAATAGGCATAAAATAGATAAATAAGATTGTAGGTGTGTAGAATTGTACACAAATAATATTTGTGGGGCGGGCCGCCGCGTGGCCGCAGTTAGGAAAACTTTCCCGTGACTATTGCAATTTGTTAACCATATAATCACATTATAAGTAATTCTCATATAAGTAAAGGGTCAACCCATCACGCAGCTTAGCACAATCAAATTAATAAAACATTTTTTTTCGTTATAGAGTTTGTTGACTGTCAAAATTAGTAATTTAAATGAGCACCGGTGCATGAAGAAGACAGTCAAATAAGGCCGAAAAATTTTAAACCTAGATCTTCCAGAGTAAGCCAGAGGTAAGCTCAGAAAAAACTATAACTCTCTTCTTTTTCTATATTCATGCTTCTGGTGATTTTATCAATGTAGAACTTAATTAATGTACCAGTATTGGACACTAAGCAACTGTTACTCAGGTCGAAAAACTCCCAGACGCCTAGCCCTATCCCTCGCTTCACAAAATCATTATTAAATAGGAAAACTACAAAAAACCTCACGAAATTAGTTCCCGATGACAGTTCAAAAATATATGTAAACTATTACTGTGGCCGCCGGCTTTGCTTGCCACTATTTTAATCTTTTGATGCTTTAGTATTGAAATCACTGACGTATTTATTACCACAAGTACTTATTTTTTCATAATTAATAACTTATTTGCGAAAGACTTTTCTACTGCGATGTCTCTCGTAGATTGTAATTTGTTTCTTATTGAATTTTGGAAATCATTATTAATGTTTAGTTTAGTTTAGTATAGACATAGATATATGTAAATTTGAGTACACATTCTTAATATAATTTGCAGTACATTAAACTTTCAACATTCGGACAAACAGACAAACCATTTTATACGTAAACATAGTTTTATAGGTAAATCACAAAAAAACCTTGTCCGTAGCGCCATGTCGGACGCGCGGGGCCTTTACACACAGCGGGGCCTCTCGACTTTCGGTACTAAATTTTTTCGTGTGGCATATTTATTTATTTCGGCCTCGACCCGAGATTATTTTCTACTAGATTTTTATGATAATCGCGGTTGTATAACGGCTAATGAATTAGGTGTAGTCCACGTTAATGTGACAATGCGATGCCGCTCAAAACTAGTGATCGGCGACAAATTTTTTCTTTAAACATTTTTTATACTTTTGTCTCACGATAAGCATCTTGTTTCGCACCTCAATATCGGTTAGGAATTTTACGATGACTTTATTAACAATTTGTGTAGTTAATCTACTTTTGTTATCTTTGACATCAAAAGCATATACGAGCTAGTGATCTAGAGAGTATGCAGCGATTGCCAGTCGCTAATAATTTCGAATTCATAATAATTTACTACTAAAGATACAAACAATAATAACAAATTTAGATATTCACTATTCGCTTTTAAAAGTCTCTCCTTTATTTACTATCCTATATACAGTAAGTAATGTTGCTTGTAGAGTCAAGCACTAGGGAAATATAACAGCCTGGAGAAGCAGTCCTATGTAAAAAGCAATGGTGGCGTCGTTGCTAACGAATACTGTTTGATGCATTGTTTGGAGGTCAAGTGACGTCTCGTGTCAATTAATCATCCACGGCCGTCAGCGGAGGCTGAAGATGAATGGCATGCCCCGAGCCTCTACTCAAGATCAGGCCCCGGGATTAGATCTCTTTTGTTGTTCAAATCAGGTGTTAATTTACTCTTTATTAATTTTCCAATATGTAGACTGATTTCGCGGCAGTAGCGATGCTCTTTTGTTAGCTTTTGAGGAAACAAATGCATGGCAGTGATTAATTTTGCTTGAATGAACGAGACAAAACTTCGATGTCTTGCGAACTTACTTTTTTATTAGGCACCTGAACCAGTAGAGGCCTATCCTATCCCTAGTATAAATGTCACTTAGAATTCTTTACAAGACATTAAACAATATTATGTCTGAATTACTTTAACCTTACCTTTTTATGACATTTACCATTACGTCGACAAGATAAAGTCTCCACAATAACAGAGAGTCATACAAATGAAGAAATATGGTTAAACGAACACTAATTACCTATACAAATACATGAAATTTATTCACAAACACACTTTCACTCCGTAAAACGATGTTGACCCTACTATGAAACTAAACACCGCTGATTTTAATAAAACATACAAATCTTTAACTAAATAAGCTTGCAAACAGGTGATTATCTAAAAACGTGCTCTCTAAACAAAACTTAAATAAGACATAACCTTTTTTTAACTCGATTGGAGAAAGTTTTTTCACCATTAAAATATTTCCTACAATAATACTTGAAGTAAAACTCGAGAAACTTTAATAAATAATATTTTATCTTTTTTTTTATTTCAACAACAAGGTACATTAACACGTAGTAGTGGTAACTTGGATATAATAAAGTCCGCAATCACAAAAAAAAATAAGCCATAAATTATAAAATTTATGCTCCGGTCTGACGGCGCGACGTAAGGCAACGCAAGGCAACGAAACATACGTAAGCTTATAATGGGTGCCTGTCTCTTTGCGTTGCCGCTTCCTAGCCATTAAAAACAGGCTGGATAGTAAACGTCACTGTAAACTAAACTAAATATTCACATTTCGAATGCCTAATCGTTTTCCGAAGGCTTCGACTTGTTTTATGTTTTCTGAACGATTCGCGTCTTGTTTTACCAACTTATTCAGCATTAACATAGTCAGTGATAAGTTATTTTTCGCGTGTAATCACGAGTATTAATCGTCACTTTAACTTTTATTTAGTAACATCACCTAAGATAATGTTTATTAAAAAACCGTTTACCTAAGTCCCAGTTTGTTTACGATAAATTGTAACGCACATTTCTGTTTTGACACCAACATCACGCGTTTACGTTTTTTAAACGGTTTCTAATTATTAAATTTTATAGGTACTTTGATCTACATTTAGGTAATATAATTCCTTAGCAGTCTGTCAATAAGGCATTCCCATTTATAGCAGTTAGTACTAATTCTACTAGTTATTAATTTGGATTTTCAAAGCTCTTATCGCGACGAGTAATTGTTAAGCTATTCCCTTAGCGTCAGTAACAATACCATCAAATATTAACACGGCTAATAGAAGCCCATTTGAGCAAATTAACTGAATAAACTTGAAACGAGGAAAACGTTTATGTTATTATAATTTTATATTTCTCTTTTAACTGAATAAAATACAAGTAAATAAAAGACAATCATGAAATGTTTACATTTAATTATTTTATTAACTTAAACTAATTTTTGGTACAGAACATAGAGCCTTAATTAGTAGAAAAAGGTGGGAAGGAAACAGGACTAGATTTGGGCCTTAGGGTATAGTGAATTTGGTAATATTTATAACAATTTTTGATCAAACACAGCAATTAAATTCCTTATCATCGTTCTTTAGGGTGAAAAAACATCGTACATAAATTGAAATATGTTTGTAGACATTCCGCAATAGGCCAATGTGGTTTAATCAGATCTTGTAATACCTTTGGACTTGAGGCCATCGGTAACTAACTAAAGGAACTTAAAAATATTTTCATTAAATATATTGCTTAATAATAAATGGATCTTCATTGTCTCTGGCTACCGAACAAGCTGGATGTCCCTCACCTAGATTGAGATCCATTGCAGCTGCGGTGATTTCTGCCAAGGTTACAGCTACGTTACTCCTTGCTGACAGGGAGGCGACACCTAGCTGACAGTCCATCACCACCAGATACCTTCCACCCTCGACCAGTTTCATGTGGAACTTGATCAAAGATACGGATTTCCTTAGTGGAGGTATATCTGTAACAATCAGTATGTTTGTGTAATGCATCTGAGTTGCACTACTGCTTCAAACTAGTCCTCAACTGAAGTTCACCGCTGTTAGAGCGCTTGACCTTTGACCAAACTATCGCACAACCATTAAGTCTCGTTTTGAATTCTATGAGCTTATATGGAGGTGCGCACACTACTCGGTTTTTAGTTATACAAGAAGCTGCGAAACAATCGACAATCGAACAACGGTAGTTTTGTCAAATGAAGAGAAAGAAACTAGAATATATGAAAGAACTCAAAATTTATTTTGCCTCTCAATACCGAATGCTAGCATATTGTAAAAAAAATATATTATTATTTAACAACCATGGATAACGATATACGACTATTCACATTAAAGAACAACACAAATACAGCTGTACTAACTTCCATCTCGAATGATGTTGGGCACGCCTGTGAAGCCGCCAGCTGGCCCCTGTTCCGTGAACAGCATCACCTCTCGCCTAGAGCTGCCGATATTTAATAGTAAAGCCGCCGCATCCCAGTTGGGCTGCATCTCTAAATACTCGTTCATGTCTGACCATACTCGGTGGACTATCTGTAAAATACAGGAATCTATCACGCTTTTGGCTTGGTTAGTTTTTGTCTAATCTCTGCTTGGATCCAAAACCGCCGAATTCTATATATATTGGTGGATTTCCATTACTCCTATCGATATTCTTTGTTAACACTTTCCGAACATAACCTAACTTCTTAAACCTTTCGAGACAATGCGTCTATTCAAAAATACATTTACATGTCTCAACCTTAGTTTAACATAGTGTTAGTCATAGCGCTAGTATTAAACTAAACATGATTTAAGTTGTTTTAAAAATGTAATTGTCTGTGTTTTATGCCTTTTTTCACGTTTGCCTTTATAATCTATCTATACTTCTATACTATTATAATAAAGCGTAAATACGCACTTCATTGTTGCCTAAGATGTTAGCAATTACAGCATATTTTTAAATAGTTCCTTTTTTAATAAAAAGCCCTACACTTACGTCAATGCTATATATTTTCACGCAATTAAACTTAGGGGGTAGATATTTTGGATAAAAACCCTAATGTGGGAAAGAGACCATAAGTTGCTGCCAACATTAAGGAAGCAAGATTGCCATAGTAAGATAAGCGGTATTTTGACATTTGCAATTAAAAATTTGACAAATGCAATCAATAAAATAAAGTTTTTATAATTTTATGCGGTTGAAGCCGCACGGGAACGGCTAGTACTAATATAAAGCGGAAAGAAATGTATTATTGTATTTACTGAAAAAACTCAAAAACTACTCGGTCGATTTCAAAAATTCTTTCACCATTAAAAAGCTACGTTAACAGTAACATAGGCTATATTAATTATTTAATTTCACGCGGACGAAGTCGCGAGCAACAGCTAGTAAGATAAAGAGCATTTAAACAAAAGATTGTTTAAATCAGTTTAACATTGAACACTCTTTTCTGGAATACTTATTAAAATAATTTTCATTGTTGTGTCCAATCGTAATTCAATGCTTACAGAATGATGGTGTCATATTTGCCAAGGTTATGTACACTAACTAAAATGACCAGGCTTTACATGACATCTGACACATTTTTTGTAGAGTGAGTGGCTGTTTTTTTTGTATATTCCTTATTCAGTTAAGAGATAAGAAAGAATATCATTTTTTTCTTATTTGGACACTTCAATTTAATTGTAAATTACGTACTAATTAAAGGCGAGTTAAATCTTATAATAATTTGTGAAACCTTTCGCGTAAAGGAACGTTTTCATAGGCAATAATGTACTTACCTCTTTGGTTGCATTCTTGAAGCTTATATCGACGCATTTTGGTCCAATCTGCATATTCCAAGAGTAATAGATACGCCATTGCGTCATCACCAACTCCGATTCGAAGAATGGAGTCCTAGCGAACATTTTACACATATCCGTATTTCTTTCCATATGTCTATATTCTACATCTCTACTTATTGCCATTTTAAAAACACTTAATATTAATATAACGTGTACAAATGCCATGATTAAAATGACACTCCTGTCTGAAAGCCTGTCTTATAAAGATGTGACATAAATACCAACTTGTGTACGTACGTAACGTGTTATGTACCATTGTTTTGACTCCGCACAATACTGCAACGGATGACCAATGTCCGTTTGTTATTTATGTGTACTAAATATAAGCTTGTTTAATAAAAACAGCCTGTAAACATTTGATTATTCATGCCATGAAATAATACCGGTAACTGTAGTACGTATCGTAGATTCGTAGTGTTGTCATTATTTTAATTCTCATTATCATTAATTTCATATATCTTTAATTTCTTATTTTTACATGATTTATCTTATAAAACAAACGTGTTATATAAAAAAATAGAACTCCACCGGCTGCGGAATTCGATGCAAGCAACCAGTAGTCAGGGCTGCAGAGACAGGAACCTCCTTACCATGCGTGCGGCTAAAATAACCGCCTCTTGAATTGTGCCCTTAATTCAACTGTCTAGCGAGAGCTTCTTGAGGTGTTGGTCGAAGCTCTTCGCTATTAGCCGGTGTACGGAAACGACTATATATAATAATAATAATAATAATAATAATAAGAATAACTACCGGAAACATATCCTAAAGGATGGTACGACTGACATTTGTCGGGCATGTCGTCGGCCCGGTGAGTCTATTAGACATATCGTTTCCGGTTGTTCTCGCCTTGCGGACAGTGCATACTTGCATAGACATAACCAAGTGGCCAAGATTATCCATCAGCAACTTGCCCTTAAATATGTTCTTGTGGAATCTGAGGTACCATATTACCAATATCAGCCTACACCAGTTCTGGAAAATAGCCGTATCACGATCTACTGGGACCGATCTATTATTACGGACAGGACTATTGCTGCCAATAGACCTGATATAGTAATAATAGATCGGTCTGAGAGTTGTGTAATGTTAGTCGATGTCACTATCCCACATGACGAGAATCTCGTGAAAGCCGAAAATGAAAAGTTATTAAAATATTTGGATTTGGCTCACGAGATTACCGCCATGTGGCGTATGAAATCGACTACCATTATTCCGATAGTCGTTTCGGCACACGGGCTGATAGCGAAGAGCTTCGACCAACACCTCAAGAAGCTCTCGCTAGACAGTTGGATTAAGGGCCCGATTCAAAAGGCGGTTATTTTAGAAACCGCACGACTAGTGAGGAGGTTCCTGTCTCTGCAGCCCTGACCACTGGTTGCTTGAGTCATCGGATTCCGCAGCCGGTGGACTTACTATTTTTTTATATAATATGTTTTATTTTGTTATTTTTTTAAGAAAATCATGTGAAATGTATTATATATAAAAATAAGAGAATAAAGATATGAAGAAATAATAATAATAATAAAGATTCTTTATTGTCAATCATTGATTGAAGGATCAATATTGCTTTGGCTCCTTAACTAGGAATTCCTGTGTTTAAGGAGCCAATGCCTTCCCTTTCAGTTACCTTTTAACAATCGGAATAATGGTAATCAATTTCATACGCATTATCATGATCATTATCAGCCTTAATATTCTTTGTTTTTTTTTTTATTTATTGCTAAACATTAAATATTCATGTGTCACAACTACTGAAGCTATTAATTATGAATTGCAAATTATCATCACTATCCTCACCAAGTAAGGGCTCTGAGTCTATCCTAAGTTAGTGCTGACCAGGCCATAGTCAAACACGCTGGCCAAGTGCGGGTTGGTTGACGTCACACATATCTTTAAGTTTCTCTGATATATGCAGGTTTCATCACTATGCATCGTAAAAACGTAAAGTAAATTATAGAAGTTCTAAATGTCGAATTGGTACATAGGATTCGAACCCGGGACGTGTAGACAAATGCTTAAACCCCTGAGTCATTACGTGTATACGTTGCTATAAATTTTCGCTTTCCAAACGTAGCAATTCAAGGATGTTTATCATGATGAATCCAATTTTACAGAATTTAGACACAGCAGTAGTTACACACGGTCGCTACTTCGCGTGCCTTTATACAACAGTTCATTTGTAAGAATAGTGGTGTACGTAAATGTAACTAGTTTTCGACCGCGATTCTGTCCACACGAAATTAGTAGCCTATGTGTTCTTCAAGACTATGTTCTACATCTGTACCAAATTTAATTGAAATCCGTTTGGCCGATTTGTGTATAATCTCTAACAAACCATTCATCTTAACTTTCCCATTTATAATATTAGTAATAACCAATGTGTTATATCTTTAGATTGGACGCTTTAAGCGTTATTTTCTAATCGAAGTGACCCCAACTTTATCATTTTTGCTTATCGACTTACCCAGCCTTTAAAAATTAAAGTCTAATTATTATACATCTAAAAGAACTCTCACTATCATGTTACTACAAAAAATAAACTAACTCTACAAAATAAATCACTGAAAATAGCACAACTGATAGCAGTTTTAAATAACGAATCGCGTAACCTCACTAGTGAGCGCGGTGGGCGTATTCTGTGCGGGCCACCGATGCGTATCTTTGGAATAGGTGGAATTGGTGGGTGGAATATTATTACTAGTCGTTATATTCAGTGACAGAGCTAGGCTGGCTGTAATGACTGCGCCGCCCAGCCAGCAACTATTAAAAAAACAACTTGAATTACTGTTTGAAGTTTTTTATTGCTGTTTATACTACGCTAGTGTTAGCAAATAGCTTAAGTTCTTACCGACTAATGTCTATATCTGACTCCAAACTAAAATGACATTTTCATTTCTTATAAAACTCTTCCCACATCGAAACCTTTTCCTCTTCACATCCTTCAAGATATTCTCAGAATTAGTAATTTTGACGTGCCAGCACCGAACTCGCCGTGGTCGTGGTATTTCAGTGGTCGAGTAAACCCATTCGACAATACGTTTATTCGCCGGCTAAAATTTTACTATTCACAATAACCCTATTTTTTACGTTCACCTGACCTCTATGTAAACTATTTACTTGCAAATCTTTGACGAGTTATAAACATTAAACCGTGCAGTTTATAAAATCTTAACTCGTACAAGCGATAAAAAATCTCTTAACCACTTTTATCTTGACATTTATAACTAAACCGGAGCCCTTTTACAATTTATGCAGCCGCTCGAAGCATCGAATGCTTGTAAACAATTTATTTGCTAGTCGTACACGAAGATTTCTCACATTGTATTAATAATAATTTACGGATGAATAGGTCAAGGTAGTTTCATTAAAGTGCTCTATATTATTTTGTACCGTTTATTTTCACTTGATTCCAATTACGAAAATCTTATGTTTATACCGAGCTTCGGTTCCTCAGTATAATGCACTTCATTAACAGGATTTTTGCACTCAATCAAATAATCGCGGCAAATAGAATGAAAATTATACTCATATAACCTATCAGTAACAATATACTAGATCCACCCCTAGCATTCAGGTGCGCTGAATCGAGGGCTGTCACGCGCAGTCGAGGAACCCGGCGTGTCATTGAGTCAGGGTTGCCAATTCCACGCTAAAGTAAACTAATCGAAATAAAAATTTTATACACAAATGATAATTAAATGCATACGATGATTACAGTAAATGCATATTTTTTAAAGTTTGTTACATTGTTTATATGTAAATGCGATGACAAATACTCCTAGTCGTATATAATAATAGCCCTATCCTTATAAAACCAACATTTATAACTATATGAAGTTTATTTCGAAAACATAGTCTATTGAACAAGGTTCATCAATAAATTAAACCTATTTTTTTTCTGGAAATGAAAAATCTTTATCGAATAAGTCACGATTGACAGCCCTATAGTAACTGAAGCGGAGTAAAACAACATCGATCCATAGGTCGCTCCCGGATTTCAAGAGACGAGGCTGTGGGTCGAGAGTATAGGAATAACAAAGTTTTCGAGTAACCTAGAAAGAAAAGTAGGATATTTCTCTTCCAGATTTGTCACTTTTTTTAACTTTTTGTATTACCCAGTTTAGTTAAACACGTGTTTTAACCGCCGCTGATTGATATTAGGGTTGTCAACGTGGTTAGTTATACCATAAATGTAAACACTATTTTCGGTATGCTTAAGTACTTTATTGATTGATCAAGAGCGCATTTTGCAAGCCTATAAATAATAATGTTTCAATGCGGTATATAATGGTTAATGTTTTAAATAAACTAGCTAAAATGTATTTGAAACACTGTCTAAGTTTTATTAAGTAAGGCCTATATTTTTTAGATCTTTTATTCTTGCAAAAACATGTTATCATACTTTACGCTTTATGCTAATATTATAAATGCGAAAGTTTGGATGGATGTTTGCTAGAGTTTGTAGTCTAAACGGCTGAGTGGATTTCGATGAAATTTGGTATAGATGTAGAAGATAGTCTGGAAGAACATATAGGCTACTCACTTTTGTTTTTAATTAATTCTTCGAGGACGGAGTCGCGGGCGAAAGCTAGTGCAATATAACTCGACATAGAGTTTTTTATTTAGTATGCTGTACTGCCTTGTATGATGTCAGAATTAAAAAATTTCAGCATAATTTTTTTCCTAACTAGAGTTTTTCCTGCACGGAGTTAGACAAAGGGTTGTCACAAAGCGAGTCGGTGGAATTGAATAAGTTTGAGTACGTGCTCTGCCGTCAACACGTTTTGTTCTCGTACACGGATAACTTTGATTGCGAGGAACTTTTTTTAGTTTTTGTCCTACAGTCAAATCGTTTTCGTTTTACTGACAAACTTGTATGTTGGTTGTTTGACATGCATGTATGTTAATTTTTCCCTATGTAGGTACTTTATCCAAACTACAATTAACTTAGAGTTTAATTACTGTTTAATTTTTGCCAAAAAAAATGTCGATCTCCATCAAATCTACGAGTAAGTACTTTGTTTACAAAAAAAACTTTATCAACAGGGACTCTTTGCAATCCGCTGGTATGTTTATATGAAAACTTGGACTATCAAGCCTGAAAACAATCATGATTTAATCTGTAACATGAGACTTTGGCGTGGCACTTTCCCTTCGACTTTTACTCT